TTGAAGCCTTAGCAAATTTCATTTTAAAAAAATAGTGTCTATTTAGCGAAAATATTTAGCTTTATTATTTAGGAAATAAAATATGTTGTTTCATTCCAAAAAAAAAGATTTAAGATTAGTTATAAGATTTGGCCGCGTTCTTAATACTTCAAAGTAAGATTTAGTCTCGTTTTAGATTTCAATTTTTTATTGGTGAATTGGGATTCTCTGTAAAAAATGATATTAAAACACCAAAGTTTAATGAGAGCCGTTATTATTCGTCTCTCAAGTTTGATTTTATTGTGAATTTTTTTAATTTTATTTTAAGAGTTGATCAGCCTTTAAAAAGCAACAAAAAAACATGTTTCTCTTGATGCATAATAGTGTCTTGAAATTTGAGAGAAAAAAATTCAAATTTTTTCGAAAAAAAAATTCATTTTCCGAAAATATACAAGTGAATAGGAGAAATTTGCGAATAATTTGTCATATAATTGTTTATGTATGAGGCTGTCAACTATATTGTACATATATATATTGATTGATTAATCTAAATATAATTTGATTGATTGTTTGTTTGTAAGGGATGATGTTATATTTGTGCAACAATTTTTCATTGTGTGAAGTGGAAATAATGAACAATGGTCAGTAAGCTGAACCAATTTGTGAAAAGTCGTGTTAGAACGCAAGGAATACATTATTAAGATCAATTTATGCTAAATAAATTCACAGACGGACTTACACAATTCCCATTTGCACATTTGAATAATACCAATCACACGTATATGTTTGCCTCCATCTATGTCCCAATATAAAACATAAGCTTTTACATTTATTTTCATTTCAACGAATGGAAAAAAAGGGAAAAACTATGTATGTCTACTGTATTTTGTTTCAATTGAAAAATTGTGTGTATAGTGCATCTATCAAATAGAACTAGTTTGATTTTTGTTAACCTGATTCCGAATTGTATAAAATTTGAATAGATTAAACATTCCATGAATATAGAGCAGACAATATATTTAGCTGTCGTCATCTGGATATTTCAGCTCATCTGGATATCGTCAGCAGATGATACAAAGTGAAAACAATAGAAGTGATTGTTATAGGTATATAAGCTTGTTATATACTGGTATTACTATAACAATCACTTCTATTGTTTTCAATCCGCATCATCTGCTGACGGCATCCAGATGCGCTGAAATATCCAGATGACGGCAGCTAAATATATTTTCTGATATAGAGTCATACAGAACGAATGAAAAGCAACACACATTCACACGTGAAACAGCTTAATGTGGATATAAATACTAATCAAGAGAGATAGAGTTATTGTATGTAGTGTATTAACGGCTCTGAAGTGTGAAAAGAGTAAATTAATTTGCTGATTATAATAAAACAAAAAATAACAATGAAAAGTGTTTCATTGGCATTTGATTAACGTTGAAAAATTGATGCTGTGTTGTTTGCATTCATTTTCTTTTCATTCTTCCATTAAATTACTATTTTGCTTTGCTTTCAAAATAACAGATTCCCTAACCTTGCCTTCTCATCTACATTAGAGAATTATCTTTCATCATCTGGCTAAACTATTTTCGGTACTAATCGGTAAGTTGAGATAATCAAGTAATTAAAGTTGCTTTTACCTGTCTCGGTTTTGTCGTCATTTTCCAATTGGTGCTGAATATGTGCTGTTCGGCATTAAAATAAAAGAAGAAATCGTGCTTTTCAAATCTATCATTTCATACCCACCGAAGTCATATATGCTTTAACGTGGAATTATTAAATTGTGTCATCTATTGAAATGCAGAAATCAATACAATAATATATTTAACCATTGTTTTTCGGTTGATTAACGAATATTCCCATTCTTTCTCTCTCTCTCTCTCTCTCTCTCTCTCTCTCTCTCTCTCTCTCTCT